TCTCAAAAATTTGCTGCAATATTTGTAGCATTTTTGTTGTTGTTTTGCTGTGAAAATATACCACAGACATTCTTCTAACATTTTTAATACTTTCTGACCTCATGAATACACATGCAAACTTTTTTCTTTTATGTTTTGTCTAAAGGTAAAAAAAAAAAGAATTTCTGACTATTTAATTATTTCAGGCTTTACAGGGGTAATAACAAGTCATTATTTTTATAATATAACAAAGAAACGTAAACATAACTGTAGACTACCTTTGTACACAACAATTACAAAGTAAACAAATGTTTCAAGCATATTAAAGTACAAAAGAATGCAACTAGAAAGCCTTCAAGTAGGACTATTTGTTTTTTGTTGATGAACACTATAGCAAATACAAAAATATGAACAGACTTGAAAACATGTAAAAGCTGTCTGACTTCCTTTCTTTTCCGTGACGAGTGTGTCAGAAACAGAAAGTAGTGCAGCCTGCTGTGTTTACAGCGGTAAAACTGGAAACTGCTGTATTACTGCTGTTAAATAAGCGCCACCTACTGTCAGACAGTGAATTTACATTTTCATTCAGCATCTGCTTCACTCACGTCATGCTGCTCATCCATTTTTGCAGGAAATCTGCAATTTAGAAAACTGCAAGCTCCTCCATGTATTGTGGAGTTCTGCAATCGCAGAATTGTGAAATCCTGAAGGGACTGATTATTGGGTGTGGATATACGGTTTATATTTGCTTGTTTCAGCTGCAAGTCGCAAAAACAATAGTAAAAACTCTGATTTACATGGGAAAGGTGTAATTTATCTAGGGCTGTCCACAACTAAACATTCTAGTCGATTAATAGTCATTCATTTAACCCATTAGTCAACTAATTGCATGTTTATATTCATTTAATTAAATATACACTTTTAACTAATTGCTAATTAAACTAATTTTAATTCTAACTAGTGTTTTCTGCGTCAATGTCGGCTCCTAAGATGAAGTGGACGATGCTGACTCACCAGAGAGAAATGCACCTTTCATACGGGTTACATAATCAGACAGTTTTTGTTTTCATTTGGTTTGTTTTAAAGTAGACATTTCAAGCTTTCTATATATATATATATATATATATATAGAGCAGTGTTGCCAACTTAGCAATTTTGTTGCTAAATTTAGCACCTTTTCAGACTACCCTAGGAAAGTTTTCTTCCAAAAGCACCTAGCAACAAATTTAGCAATTTTTTTAATTTATTTGGCAACTTTTAGCAACTTTTGATAAGTATATATATATATATATATATATTTCTCATGTATGTGAGGCAAGTAGCCTATACGAGTTTCGCTTCATTTCTAAAACAGTTCACGGAGACTGAGACGGCAGAAAGTGCATCCTGATCGTTTTCTTTGTTTTAAAAAAAGCACAACGTTTTGTTGATATTGTGAGTGTGCACAAATAGAAGTAGACCCTTCACAGTTCCAAATTATGTATTACACTTATCTGTAATACTCTTATATGTTTCCGCTGTTATCCGGAAAGCATTGTCAGTGATCGCGCCATGCAGTAGCGCACTAACAGCTTCCACACTGTGGCTGTGTAAAGTTGCTATTGCGTACGTGTTTCAATTGATGATAGACAAACGTCTAGATTTCCTGCCAGATATACTGTAATTACCTCAAGGGCCAGCCGTTAGCAACCTTTTTTTGCGACTAACAGACTAATACTGCCCTACAAAGGCAAAAACCATAAGAGAAAAATTACTTTAAAGATTTTTATTTGTCCAGCCAAATTAATTATAGGTAGGACAATGGAAATCTGGCAATTATGTTTTAGTAATGAAAATTATCTACATAAAAATCTTGAGCTCAAACTTGATTTTGACCCGTTTTGAAGTTACTGTACTCTGACTTTGTATTGTCTGCAAAGTAAGAAGTCACACCAAGGCAAAAGGCAGTAACTTCCACATTATCAATATTTCGTTGCTGATCACCATTTACAAAATCACTAAAGTAACATCTGTATAAAGTCTAGTGATCATGGGCTGTCTCATAGGCTATAACATATAGTAAGTAATGTGACTGTATTAATTGTTGTTCTGACCGTAACGACCAGACAAAAAGTTAAATGTGAGTGGATACCGTTTTGCAACCAATTTATTTGCAATGTTTACTACCGTAAAAGGATGCAAGACGTAGCCTAATTGCTTTTACGTTGAATTGAATGAAAGCCTAGCTTAAAAGGACAACTTGTGGATTGATGTGAACGGCAGCAAGTAGGAATAATGCTCAGAATGTTTGTGGATTAAACACTACATTTTTCTGGTTTAATCACAATCAGATTTTTTCTAGATCCTACATTAAATTTATATTTTGACCTCACTATTCGGGGAACAGACACAGTCTTTATAGATTGTACAGCGCAAGTACTTCTATCATTTAAGCGGGTAGAACAAAAGTCATCAGGGCAGTTATTTGAGATTTGACTTACTAGTCATATGGTGCGTAGCGTCCTGGAGATGTTGTCCAACA